CCCCCTCCTCTCCCCCAGCCCCCTGCCGCTCCCTCAGATTGGAGGAGGACCGTACGAGTTCCAGCTGAGATGTTGCTGCCCTCCTCTGTCCAGTCCGAGCAGCACATGGGGAGGAGAGTCATGCTGCCTCACCCTGCGCTGCTCTGAGCTGCGCAGAACAAAGTGCTCTCATCTCTACCAAGCCGAACTGAGCTGTGTGCTTTCCATCAATACGGCGCAGTTTTTTGCACATCAAAAGTCTACACACGCCTTGTTGGAATTTCAGCTTTTGTGGATGTAAAGGCTGAAATCAAGACAAACCATGTCAGACCTGTTTAATGGTATAATGATTGCACCGTAGTTCTTCTAACAAGGGGAGCACATCCACAGTATTTAAAAGAGGGATTATGACTGGGGAGCAGTGTTTACTTTCAGTCTGATCTCTGCCGTTGAGTGTACAGTACTGTACTGCAGATTACACGCACAATTGTATGTACAGTATGTATCTTGTTTTCTGTACGAATCAGTTGAGGACAGGGAGTGGTAGCCCTGCAGTTAAGTGTTGTTTTACAGTTCTGAAAAGTTCTTGCATCGCAAACCCAAATTTTCCTTAAGCACTAACATGTAGGAAGGAGACCTACAGTACTTCATCTACCACTGAAGTCCAGACCTCTCCTGGCAGAGTTTTACCTCCTGACATAAGTTGGAAATTCAGGGAGGCCATACTAAGCAAACCCACAGCGGGCTGGCCACAGTGCTATCTTCTCTTTTATCGATGAAGTACTTGAGGCCTGGCCTTGGTTTGAACTCTCATCCGAATGACGGTACCGCCACCACCGTGTTTCTCTGCAAGAATCAAGCCCTGGTTTAGCGATTCAAGTCCTGGGAGGATGAGCGCCACCTGCTGGTCCACAAACACCACTTCCATGGTTTCTCCTTAAGAAAGGCCCAGCTCCTAAGACCAAACAAAATTGGCCTGCCAGGTGTTCTGGGGCACAGGGTTCAGTTCAGAGGATGGGTGCCCTCTGTGTGGTTTGGGTTAGGGTTCGACCTGAGTTACAGATGTGTCAGGTGAAGACGAGCTGGCCGTAGGTTATATGCTATGCCTCCATATACAGTAGCATCTTAGGGAATGTTCTGTGAGTAATGTGTTCAAGTGTCATTGCATGAAAAGTCAGTTGACCGAAGTTTCTGGTGAGGAATTGTGGGAAACTGACGCTGTTGGCAAGAGCCTAACCTCTCTGTTTTTCTGTTTGTATTTCAGATCCAGGGCCGCCAGCTGGGATCAAGGCTGTGCCCTCGTCTGCCAGCAGCGTGGTGGTGTCCTGGCTGCCCCCGACCAAACCCAACGGCATCATCCTGAAATACACCATCTTCTGTTCCAGCCCCGGCTCCGGGCAGCCTGTAAGTCACAGGGCATCCTGGCAGCTCTGGGGCTGGTCCTCTCTGGAGCACAGCTCCTGAATGTGATTCCCTTTTAAGTGCAATTCTGTAAGCCCGTGCCTTCGAGTGTCCACATTGCTCATGGCCTCTGCGTGTGGCTATAGCCAGGGTGCATCTGCAGAGAGTGGGGGTGTACTGGGGCACCATCTGGGTGCAGCTGAGCTCGTCCTGGCTTCTTCTCTGTGCCATCCTCCAGCTCAGCACTGGCATCCCCACTGGAGCTCAGCAGTGTGAGTCTGGCCAGTACCTGGATGGGGGACTCCTGGGAAAGCTGAGGCTGCTGCTGGAAGAGGTGTTAGTGGGACCAGTAGGGGGCGCTCACCCTGCAGTCTGTGTGGGTCCTAATGCCCCAGTATAGTGACGGGGACACAGTGCCGTCCTTCAGATGAGACGTAAAATCAAGGTCCTGACTCTTTGTGGTCATTAAAAATCCCACTGTGTTTTTTTCCAAAACAGTAAGGGTGTTACCTCAGTGTCCTGGCATGTAAGAGTTAAGCTAGGCCAGGCTGGGCGTGTTCGGCATTGAGGCTTTCCAATAACTCCAGGGTGCCAGTAGGTGGCGCTCTCCCCCCCTCCCCCTCGTAGTAGAATTTCCAGTTCGGTCTCCCAGTATGGGGACGGGGGGCCTGTGCTGCAGGAGCCTTCCGGACATCGCACCTTAATTCAGCGGGTGAAGCCATCCCCCCCCCTCCGACCTGCTGTTGGCCCAGGTGGGAGATGCACTTCAGGTGTGGATGGAGTAAAGCGCTTTAGGATGCTTTGGAATGAAGCGCTCCCTGCCCCTGCCAGGGTTCGAACCCGGTCTCTCGTGGGCCCCGAGCTCACGAATACAGCGCCCCACCCCACCACACCACATCTTCTGCCTGTGCAGATCTCTGCCCTGTCCGGATTTCAGGGGGGGGTGACGTCACTTCTGTTACCGGCTCTGCGCGCTGAGCCCTGTCATATAAGGGACAGGTATTCATGAAGAATGAATGAACTCGACCCCCACCCCCGGAGCTGGCCTGGACCCCCGGCCTCTGTGCACACGCGTCCCCAGTAAATCACCGCCTCAGGGCCAGAGAGGCCTGCACACTGGCCCCACTGTGCCATAGTGCATGTTGTGTTATCTGTGTGTGTGTGCTCTCTTCTGAGTGTGCGTATCCAGTTGTGTGTGTGTATAGTGTTTCTGTGAGTCTCCTCTCAAGCTCATTTGCATATCTGTGTCTGATCATGTTGCCACGACAACCTCATCTGTTCATCAGGGAGGCTGAGGAACAGCAGTGAGATCAGAGAAGGTGTGAATTACACTCACACACACCGCACTCTCCACACACACACACCACACACTGCACACTCCACAGGCAATACACTCTCCACACGCACGTTTCAAACACCACACGCCAAACACACACAATACACACCGCACTCTCCACACACACACACACCACACACTACACACCATACACACAGGGCATTCAGTTCCCGAAATCCACTGGGCTGACTAGTGCTCCAGTGATCTGACTGCAGTGCCTGGGGGGGCAGATGGCCCAAGAGATCAAATGAGTCAAATGCAGAGAAGCTAATCTGGCGAGTCGAGCATTATTATAATAATAATAATAACATCCTCACACTTATAATTGCTATAATAATAATTGCTTACACTTCTATAGCGCTGTTCTGGACACTCCACTCAGAGCTCTTTACAGGTCATGGGGATCCCCTCCACCCCCACCAGTGTGCAGCCCCACCTGGATGATGCTCCAGTCCTCTCCCCACACACCAGCTCTCAGTGGGGAGGAGAGCAGAGTGGTGAGGCCAGTTCAGAGATGGGGATTATTAGGAACCCTGGGATGACCGTAGAGAGTCAGGAGAGTCAGAGATTATTTTTTTACAGTATAGCTTTGTACAGTATGATATCTTTTTTACAATGCCCCATCACTGTACTGGGGCATTAGGACCCACACAGACCGCAGGGTGAGCGCCCCCTACTGGCCCCACTAACACCTCTTCCAGCAGCAGCCTCAGCTTTCCCAGGAGTCTCCCATCCAGGTACTGGCCAGGCTCACACCGCTGAGCTCCAGGGGGGCTGCCAGTGCTGAGTTGCAGATTGATATAGCTGCTGGCAATAGAATATGCTGACAGAGATCATGGAACACGCTGCAGTTCTTGTTTATACCTGTCGTGTCTGTGTGTCTCTGGGTGCTCCAGTGTGTATGTCTCTTGTGTCTGTGTGTCTCTGGGTGCTCCAGTGTGTCTGTCTCTTGTGTCTGTGTCTCTGGGTGATCCAGTGTGTCTATCTCTTGTGTCTGTGTGTCTCTGGGTGATCCAGTGTGTCTATCCCTTGTGTCTGTGTGTCTCTGGGTGCTCCAGTGTGTCTATCTCTTGTGTCTGTGTGTCTCTGGGTGATCCAGTGTGTCTATCCCTTGTGTCTGTGTGTCTCTGGGTGCTCCGGTGTGTATATCCCTGGTCATCCTTGTGTCTGTGTGTCTCCTGCAGGCCCCCAGCGAGTACGAGTCCAGCCCCGAGCAGCTGTTCTACCGGATAGCCCATCTGACCCGAGGCCAGCAGTACCTCATCTGGGCGGCCGCGGTAACCTCCGCTGGCCGTGGCAACATCAGTGAGAAGGTCACTGTGGAGCCTGCTGGGAAGGGTGAGTCCCCGGGGAGGCCTGAAACCACATCCTGCCTCGCACCGTGCGGAAATGATTCCCAAAATCCAAGCATTTCCCCTCCGGGTCCTGGGGCTTGTCTTTCGTCCTCTGAATCAGCTCTTACTTGCCTCTGAGTCAACTTTTTTTTGTTTTAAAAGTTTTAAAAATTTAAATGCATGTAAATGCAAATATTTTCAGTTGAACTTCACACATTATTTAACAGGTGGAAAACAGGTGTGGGGAAGGAGACAGGGTACTAGCCCAATTTAAGGTAGGGTGGGTGAAGTTACGTAGTATATTACAAGACTATTGATTTTGGGAAAAAAAACTACCGTGCAATTTCCAGAATGTGGACAGGGCTCCTGTTTGAGTCTCCTGGGAGCTGTGCTGAGCTTCTGAGGTCTGACTTCATCAGATCTCAAGGTATTCTCCTCCTCCTCGCTCACATGAAGGACTCGCACCAGCTGGACCCCAGCCCTCACTCTGTCAAATGTGAAAGGACATTTCGTCGGCTGTGTACTGCACCTTACAGTACCTTCCCCTCCAGGACCCTGAGCCCAGGCCGCTCAGGGCCTGTGGTTGAATGGGCTGGCGTGTATCTCCAGGATACTGTAGATTCAACCAGTTCCCTTCGCTCGTTTCTACAGCTCCTTGTGTATTTGGACAGCTCTTCCGTCAGTGACCTGTGCCATTGAGGAGGCTATCCCATGAAGCACAGGGTCAGGACAGTGAAGCAAAGACACACATCTCCGCTGGTGCTGTCTCCTCAAATTGGTTTCTGACCGCATCCATCTTCACTGTCGTTCTCTCTTTACTGGGTCCCTCAGTCTGTCCTCCGTCCTGGAGACCTTCCTCCTCTCAAGGCGCTGTCTTACTGATCAAGACTGCCTTTGTGTTTGTGCGGAGGCTGGGTGAGGACCGCAGGAATCTCTGGAATCTAGTGATGGCTGCTGTGTGGATTCGCCCCCGTCTGTCTCCCTGCTCTGCACTCTTCTCTCTTTCTGCCCCTCTCTTCTCCCCTCTGCTCTCTATTCCCCCTCGTCCATTTGCCTCTCTCCATCCCCTTCTCCCCACTCGCCGTTCTTCCTCCTCTCTTGTCTCCTCTCCTCCGCTCCTCTCGAGCAGCCATGTCAGTGTTCAATTGACGGCAGGCTTTGCTGTAGGGCCACTGTTAATTATTTCACTTGAGCTGGGTCAGCCAAATTAACCAGCCTCCTTCCAAGTCGAGACAAGAAATGTCTTAACCAATAGACACGGTATTTGAGAGAGGAGAAAGGATGGGATCAATATCTTGTGGATTGCCCATGGAGAGAGAGCACAATACAGATAGCGTTCTTTTCCCTGAAGTTAATAACGAGCTGTAAAAGAGCCTCTGTCAGGCAGGCCCACTCAATACTTCATTGAGCAGGCAGGAGTAGTAACAGGGAGAGCACCATTAATATATCAAGAGATGTGTGCTTACTCTCCTGATCAGATAGTGGCTACCTCAGTGAGTCTGTGTGAGGCTACGTAGGTCTGCGTGCGACAGTGCACGTCTGTGTGAGTCTGTGTGTGTCTGTGCGTGATATCACAAGATGTGTGCTTACTCTCCTGCTCAGATAGGCCCTTCCTGAGTGAGGCTGCGCAGGTCTGTGTGCTTCTGTGCAAGTCTGCGTGTGTCTGTGTGTGATATCACAAGATGTGTGCTTACTCTCCCGCTCAGATAGTGGCTTCCTCAGTGAGGCTGCGTGTGACAGTGCACATCTGTGCGATTCTGTGTGGGTCAGTGTGCATCTGTGTGAGGCTGTTTGTGAGTCTATGTGTGATATGAAGAGATGTGTGCTTACTCTTTGATTAGATTGTGGCTACCTCAGCATATCTGGTTACTGCTTATTACTTAGGGGTAGAAGCCTATGGCCTAAGACAAAGGCCCGTGTTTGTGTGTGTTAGTCCGTGGTTATGTTTGTGTGGGTCTCTACATGTGTGTTAGTGTAGAGTGCAACTGTGTGTTTTGCATGTTTGCTTGTAAATTGATTATGTAGGAGACTGAAAACCTTGCATTTAGTGAGCATTTCACTAAAATCACACACAAACACAACCAAATTATTTCTGTATTTTTCCTCACCAGATCTCGCACGTAATTAAAAAAGCTGGGAGATGCTGCTCTCCTTGAAAATGTCTTAATTAATGTTTTCTCTCATCTTGGCCTCCTCTGGCCATTTTTTTCAAAATCTCTTGTGTAGCTGACTTCTGTTTTTTTCTTGACATTTTAATTAGGCCTGTTAGGAAACCTCCAATGCATTTTACCAGTTGTGACTGCATATTCCTTTTCTGTTCCTACAGTACCTAAGCAAATGTCTGGCATATTTAAGCTTTCTGCACAATTACACGTTTCTCCTATAACACCACTTATCTAGATTTTGTGGCACGGTAACACAGTAATTTGTTTAAATATTTCCCATCTCTAATAAAACTACAGACGGCTTGTTGAATACTGTTGCAAATATCCGTATATCTGCAAAGCTAGAATAAATCGATTGATACATCAGTCTTTTTCTCACTTATTTTCAATCAGAACGTTCTCAAAGCACTTTACATAAACTAGACTTAACAAATGTACAGAAGCAGAAAAAGAATAATGGAGCAAATGCATAAATGACCAAATTAAAAGAAAGAATTAAAAGCTATTGGAAGTCAGTCTTGAGGCGAGATTTGTAAACGTGAGCAGAGGGGGTGTTTCTGACGAGGGCAGGAGGAGTTATTCCAGAGACGAGGGGCTGCTAACGCACAGTGTGATGTCCTGGGAGCGTTGAAGAGCTTAGCGCGGTGAAGGAGGTGATTGAGCTGGGACACGCAGGGACAGTAGTTCTAGAGGGCGATGTTTAACCATAACCAACACTGTTGGTTAGAGTTGTCCTATAGCGCTATGCAACTAGCAAACACTAGTTACCAGCTTGGGTGTGGTGTGCCAGTAATGTGTGCGGTTCTACATGGATTGTGGATTAAACTTAGAACAGCTGCCTCTGATGCATGCTGTGACAGGCAGTATGTAATCCACCAAACTGCTTTTCATTTTGGTCTTGTGTCTCTTTCTCCTGGGTTTGGTGCCTCAGCCCCAGCGAAGATCATCTCGTTCGGGGGCACAGTGACCACTCCTTGGATGAGGGACGTGCGCCTGTCCTGCACCTCTGTAGGGGAGCCCGCCCCTACCATCAAGTGGACCAAAGACAGGTCAGTGCCTCTCTCTTCGTCGCTAGTCCTCCTCTTCATCGCTGTC